ATTTACAGATCACAAATGAATGGATCTTCTCCTGAGATGTTTGTCCCAACTGCATATGTAGGGGCACCTCTTAGTATTGCGATTGATTGGGTATCTCGCAACATATTCTGGAGTAATCCAAACGAACACATAATTGAGGTAAATCTAATTTGTATCTCGCTGTCTTAGATTCATAATCTTCTCAAAAAGGCTTGAATGATTGTCAGGACCAGGTGAATGCCAGAAACGCAAAGTTAGAGCTGTTGCACTTGTTAACGTTTTGACCGCTGCAACACATATTTAGGTTGGAGGTCGATGAACCAAATCAGTACACCAACAGTTTGCTCATGAAGATTTACTTTAGGTGTTCACACTGCTGCTAATAAGATAACTCCTGGGTAACAATACTACAGTAGTTTGTGAGCTGGTATCAGTGAGCGATATTTGTTTTCGGACATTCAATGACATATAGTTTGCAAACAACTGATGTCTCAACCACAGCTGCTTATTAGTCCCCGTTTGAACGCAGTCCGAAAACGGGGACTTATGTTTTGGCCTTCGTGTACGTATGTGCGTGCGTGCGTCTGGACCTGTATCTTAGAAATGCCTGGACCAATCACAATCAAATCTCATGTTATATATATATATATATATATATATATATATATACATGTATTCAAAATGGCTGGTTTTGAATGTTGTTCCAGAGCAATATCTCTCAATATGGACAAGTCCTTCTTTGACGATCAGATACAAATGTCAATCATTTTAATGTTAAAAAATCATATTCCTGACATGGTTATATTCCATATTATCTTAAATTTGATAACTAACGGGGACTGTGCCATCCATGGCTTACATGTATAGTAACTATTTTTATTGATGGCAAGTATCGATCATCATCTCTTCGCATCACAGAAGTTCTTCATCGCTTCAGGATTTGATTTATTCATTGTATTTGAATTGTTTATTGGGAAAATTTGCATCAGTATCATCATTGTCTCTGCATTGCCTCTTGGCTTTTCAACATTCTCTGCAGCGAACTCATTACTGGTTTTTATTTCACTTCTTTGCTGACTTGTTTTTTTCCTTGTTCAGGTGATGAAGTTGGATGAAGAGAAAAATTACCGTACAGTTGTCTTCAGCGATAATGTTGGCATTCCAGGTGCCATATGCGTGGATCCATCTCTGGGGTAATGAGTTGGCTGAAAGTAATATGTCAAATAATTTTACGTTTTTTATGTAAATGGTGATGATGAGTTTACAGTGCATTTTGATGCCATATTTTGTATGTGTGATGACATTTATTTGCAGTCATCTCTTGATTTGTTTAATTTACATTTCGTGTTTATTATGAAACAGGGGTACATTTATAAATGAGGACTCTGAATTTAGTTTTATTGAGTCCCATATATTCATTTTTCAACTAATTCTTGTAATTCTAACTCTAAACCATCGTACTTTGCACACTTGTACATTTGCAGTTTAGTGTGACAATTAAATTAATTAAATTTGTTGATTGGTAGGAAATTTTTCTATTTTCAAATTCCTAACTCGGGTCTTAGCTGTATGTAGTTGTTCATCAATTTTATTTTGTTCTTTAGAATGATTTACTGGGCTGAAGTTACTCCCACTCTGACGAGGATTTCCAAGGGCAGGATGGACGGTACAAATCCACAAACTGTTGTTAATGGCAATCTTGGCCAAGTGGAATACCTGACTATAGATATTAAACAGCAACAACTGTATTGGAGCGACAGTGTCCTTAAAATGGTATAATTAAAGATTTATGTGCTCACTTTGTGTTGAGGATCATCAATGAATCACTGATTCCCACAATGCACATGTCCAATAAACTTCTTTTTCACTAAAAAGTCAAATTTTTATGAAACTTTTTTTATCAGGAGATGTGCTCACTTGGTGTTGGGGACCATCAAAGAATCCCTGATTACCACAACTCACATGTCCAGTAAATTTCTTTTTTCACTAAAAAGCCACATTTTCATAACATTTTTTTTTATCAGGAGATGCAAATCTGAGTGCATATTTTTTCGATATTCTCTTGATACTGTTTTTTTCTCTGCTTGTGTAATATAATGAGAGATTATAGCCTGAAACAGCAACGAAAAATGTCTTATGCCGTGTGAATGTTAACATTTAGTGAAGTAATTTATTTTCCATCTATTGTAAACAAAGTGAAGTCATTGAACAGAACAACAATAACCTTGAACTTGTCAATGTCGTAGTGTAGTTTACTCCATTTGAAGGAAACTCAAACTTGTGAAAAGAGTACTTGTACATTCAAGAACGAGTGTTGATATGACGTTTTACAGAACACCAATTTCTATTGTTTTCAATGTTTGATGATCAACATTTGTGAGATAACAAACATGATTAAACTACTAACCATATTAGCCTGTTATGGCCTGTCTTTAGTCCACTTTGTATATATCCAAAAAATACTGTTCTAAACTTTTTAGCTCCGCTGTCATCATAGATGACAGAGCAGAGCTGTTCATGTAAATGTAGGTGATTGTTCGTAAACAATTTCAATTTTTATAACTACCAGCTCAATACCTTTGATACTTGGTATGTAGGTACCATGGGTGGACCCATGTCAGATTTGTTCGTTCATGACGATATTTTCAATTCTCTATTTTTGGCACATATTTTTATCATTTTTGGTATTTTTGATTTCTTCTTGAAAATTACCAGCACAATTGTTTTTGATACTTGAAATCAAATTTGAGCCGATAGTTTTCAAGAAGAAGTCTTATTTATGGGTGTGCGTTGCTCGACTTGACTGCCACAATGTTCTTGTAGTGTAGGTCAGTGGAGCTATTTTGAGGTCGCTTGTTAAAATGTTTTAAAAATAAATCACTAACCTTGTTAATCATTGACAAGTAATATTAATACTTTACTAACAATATTAATCTTTTATGCACTGAAAATGTGCATAATTATTATACTGTTGTAATAAATTGGTTCATAACATTTTGTGTTTATTACTGCAGATTGGAACCTGTAACGTTGATGGCACATCAAAGCAAGATCTTGTAACGAACCTTGCAACTCCAAAAGGTTTAGCGGTTTACGGCAGTTATCTTTATTATTCAGGTACATGTTATATTTCAGTGCTTGGTTTTACAGTCATCTTGCATACAGATGGTAGTATAATCAGTGTTCATTTATTCACCATTATTGCCTTGACGCTACAGGTCGGCGTTCTTTTGACACTGATCTGATGCATATCGTGCAAGGAAATTGTTCAAAACTTTGAATGTTTCAAAGTCATTGGACGGTCGGCACGTATTTTACCAATGTAATAAATCATTTCAGTTATTTCTTCACTACATAATGATAAGTGAAACTTAGAGACAATGTAGAAATGAGCTGGACAAAAAATTTTGCCCTCAGCAGTCAGTTTACACTGATAGCTCATCCTGTCGTGTGTGTTCTACACATGACCTTTTACATTCAAAGACATTCTATTTCAAGCTAGTTGAACCCTAAAATTACACAGAAAATTTTGAACTTGAAACACAAATTAGTTAGTGTTTGTTTCCTCTGTTCCAAAGATTGAATTATGCATGACATTAATACTTTACTCACTAAATAATATTTTACTCACTAAATAATATTTCACTCACTAAATAATATTTCACTCACTAAATAATATTTCACTCACTACATAATATTTCACTCACTAAATAATATTTCACTCACTAAATAATATTTCACTCCTAAATAATATTTCACTCACTAAATAATATTTCACTCCTAAATAATATTTCACTCACTAAATAATATTTCACTCACTAAATAATATTTCACTCCTAAATAATATTTCACTTCTAAATAATATTTCACTCACTAAATAATATTTCACTCCTAAATAATATTTCACTCACTAAATAATATTTCACTTAAATATGTGATTAAAAAACAATTTAAATTGTAAAAAGAAGTTCCGGGTATGAACACTAATTTAAAAGTGGTGCTATTTTAGCCAAAACTGCTAGTAGGGCATCATAAGACACAGGTCTGTGACGACACAGCACTTTCTGTGACGACACAGCGCTTTCTGTGACGACACAGCGCTTTCTGTGACGACACAGCGCTTTCTGTGACGACACAGCGCTTTCTGTGATGACACAGCGCTTTCTGTGACGATCCAGCGCTTTCTGTGACGACACAGCGCTTTCTGTGACGACACATTATTACTCTATAAGGGTAGCCATCTTGAAACGTCACTGATCATAAAAACTCACAAAATAGTCAGAAATTCACAAACGATTTGTCATAATAACTTTATGCCATTCGCCAATAAAATTGAACCATATTTAGCATTTTAGTTGGAAAAGTCTCTTACTGGAAACAAAACAAAAACGACCTCACAAAACTTCACAGAGCCTAAAATATACGGCGTATTCAAAATCCAAATCCTCCAACATCAGATACCAATCAGCGAGGACCTTACAGTTGAATTTTGGTTTCCACATTCTGTGGATCTTCATGCAATCTGCCATTTCTTTTTTTAATATTTTACATATTGCTTTTTACATTGTTAACTGTGAAAACAAATATGGTATTTTTTATGAAGTGTTTCAATATTGATTAATTTTTTTATGTAATTATACATGTAATGACTTAATTTTTCTTGTTCATTTTTGGTCAGTATTGTTCACAACTTATTTTTGCCCTTTATTTTTTGTCCAAAATGTTTAAATATAATGGCATTGTTCCAGGACTTTCACTTTTGCCGTACAAGGACAAATTTGTGCTGCATTATTTATTTTTTCCCATACATCCATTTGTTGTAATCTAGTTAATCTAGATTCTCAATGGGCAAGGTTGTAATTGTTTTGGTTGTTACTAGTTGCTGTTCAAATCATTCATTCATATTCTAAATTTAAATGTATTCTCATCTGTTTTTAGACATCGGCTTTGAGGTCATAACCCGAGTTCAAAAATCAGATGGTAGCGATCCTGTTAACTTAAGAAATAATTTTCGTGATGTACAAGCGCTGAAGATCTTTGCCCAGGATAGTACTATTACAAACGCATGTAAAGTAAACAACGGGCGATGTCACCATCTTTGCCTGCCAAATGGTCCTGCAACAAAGGTCTGCAAGTGTACTATTGGGTTTCAGCTCGCTCCTGATGGTGTTAGCTGTAATAGTAAGTGTACTGGGTTTAACTTTGGAATGACATTTCTTTTACTGACATTCTTGTTCTTTTCATGTTAATTTTTTACCAAATCATTTTTTGGCTTAAGTTTTGATGGAAATGTTTATGCATGCCGATTTTGTGAAGTGACAAAAGTTGACTCTGGTGCTCAAATGATTAATGATATGCAAATTACCTAATTAATATGCACATATGGTATATAGAACTATTTTGTGAATGGTGACAAAAGTTGACTTTGGTGCTCATATGGTTAATGATATGCATATTACCTAATTAATATGCACATATGGTATATAGAACTATTTTGTGAATGGTGACAAAAGTTGACTTTGGTGCTCAAAGGGTTAATAATATGCAAACTACCTAATTAATATGCACATGCAGTATATAGAACTATTTTGTGAATGGTAACAAAAGTTGACTTTGGTACTCAAAGGGTTAATGATATGCAAATTACCTAATTAATATGCATATACGGTATATAGAACTATTTTGCTGAATGGTGACAAAAGTTGGCTTTGGTGCTCAATTGTATTCATTATCATAATGATAATTTGATGTTGTATACAGATTAAGATTTCATAGTAGTCCATGTAATTCAGTATTAAAATTTCTTCATTGCTATTAACAACATTTCGTACTTTTCTTCCTGATTCATAAAATCTGCAAAAATCTGTCATTCATGGTTTACAGTTATTAATTCTTCTGAGTGAAAGAAAAATCTGGTCAAAATCAACAAACGTGGAGAATTTTTGCTCTCAATATTTGTGAGCTAACTTTTTTTTTTTTTTTTTTAGATCACACTTCATTTGCGGTTGTGTCTCAGCTGACCGTTATAAGAGGATTCAGCTTCTCGGATGACCACGAGGAAGCCATGGTGCCAATTGCAGGACAAGGTCTGTAATATCTTATATAAGAGTGCAAACCCATTTTTAGTTCCTGTTCGGTCTCCATCCGTCCGTGCGTCTGTCTGTGCATCCGTCCGGAGTCATATTTTAGAATCCTTTGGACCGATTCCGTTCATTTTTTGCATGTGCCTAGTACTTTATGTGGGACATATGCACATGCAGTGGTTTAGCGATTCGATTCAAAATGGCCGACTGGCAGCCATCTTTTTAGCTCCGCTGTCAACTTTGTCGAGCGGAGCTTATCATATGAGTGATTGTTCGTCGCCGTCCGTCGTCCGTTTGTTCATTTTATGATCATATCTTCAATTCTCTAATTTTGGTGAATATTTTTGTCATTTTTGGTAAAAAATTATATTTTCAACTTCTTGTTAAAAACCACAAGTCCAATTGCTTTGATATTAAATATATAAGTAGTACATGTGGACCTCTCTAAGATTTGTTCATGTTGTAATGATATCTTTACTTCTCTAATTTTGGTGAATATTTTTGTCATTTGTAGTAAAAAGTGATATTTTTGACTTCTTGTTAAAAATCACAATCATTTATTGTGAAAAATGATATTTTTGAATTCTTATTGAAAACAGCAAGTCCCATAGCATTGATACTATGCATATTGTTAATTTTCTAATGATATCTTCTGTTCTTTAATTGAAATGTGCATTGCTAACAGCGGAGCTATCTCAGCCGAGAGGCTGCTTGTTTAAAAATATCGTATTTTGGACAGGCTTTGTCAGTTTTCATTCAAATTTGGTACATAGATTATACATGTTAGGATACATGTCTATGACAATTTCTTCCGCAATTGGATTAAAGATGGCCTACTAGTACTGGCAGGCATCTTGTTGTTTTTTTAAATGTGGTATCTTGGACATGCTTTTTCAGTTTTTATTCAAATTTAACACATACTTTATACATGTTAGGATACATGTCCATGACAATTTGTTTCAAAATCGGATCAAGGATGGCCGATAAACAGCCATCTGAATTTTTGGCCTTACATAATATATTTCCACAATTTATGTACCATTTTCATTCGTATTTGGC